CTGACAGATAGAAACAGACATTCACATCTATAGGAAAAATATCACTAATTAACCTAACGAGCATGTCTTTGGACTGTGGGACGGGGCCGGAGAACCCAGAGGGAACCCACTCATCCACAGGGAGAACATGCAAACTCCGCACAGAGAGGCTTCTGTCTAACTGTGAGGCAACAGCGATAACCACTGCACAGCCTTCATTTAACATATGGGCCTGAAATGTGGTGGTTTACACCATTTTATATGCAAGAGCGTATGCGTTTTACATTTTGACATAAAAGCGTGCAAATTATTCAGTTCATACAAACCATTAGATCAAATCCACAGCTCAGAAGGTGTACCAAGACCAGGAAATATAAAAAAGAAAGAATGTTTTTACAAACCAGTTTGCTTTGCTTTTATTATTAACAGTACAAACAGCACAGGGGGGTTCAGGTGTAAGTAGTGCATAGAGGCCTCTTAAAATATTTCTTTGACAAATATTTAAATGCTGTGTTTGGTGGGGGTCAAGTTTGTCACTTACTGTAATCCATTCTGAATGTATCCGAACCCCAGACAAACGGTCAGTTAAGCTTAAACAACATTCCTGCTCTATAGCATTCAACACTAACAGGGCAGCAACAACATATATTAACACTTAATGTTAAAGAAAATACAGCACACAGTTCTCCTTCAGGTCATTGTCTGACGACTGTAAAAGTGTCTTTGAGGATTTCCTTCTGTTGTCAGGGAAGGGCTAGAGTTTGTCATCACAGGTTGATAGTGAGATGTAACCAGCATTTGATGATTTAGTCCATGTCTTTGGTTTGTGGTGATCTTGGCAATGGCAGATTTAAGGGTCATAAAAGAGTTTTTGCAAGTTTTAGCCCATTAACTGAAGATCCCACATTCTCTATTAAGCCAACCATTTTCCAAAGCGTATTACAGTTTGAGAGATTTTTAAACAGATTTTTAAATGATTTGTTCCCATACAGACCTTTCCTACAGCAGCCTTGGAGAACAGATACACGTGTCATCACACAAGTGAAGACACAAAAGGACTCAAGCTACCAAGATGACTACATCTACAAGGCATGTTCTGTAAACAAAAGCAGAAAAGTGACAACAGTCTCTAATGCTTTTGGAAACAATTTAAACAAATAAATATTGACGATAATCTTAGTTGTTCCAGAAACCTAATTTAATTTCTTTAAGTGTGTTTGACTTCAGAACATTCACCCTAAAACTAAAAGGATTTCCGTTGCAAACATGCTGCAAACTTGGGCATTGTGATTTTAAAATAAAACCTTATGTGAAAAACATGCTCGGAAAAAAAGGATTCTCTAGCTAGGCAACAAACCGTTTTTAAGTCATGTCTTTTTTAAGTTTAAACTGTTCATTTGCCAAATCAATTAGCACTGTCAACTGCTTTATCATGAAGCAAATCTTCCCCTGTTTGGAAATCTTACCTTGTCTACCTTGTCTTTCTGGTTCTCGCCTGAAATGATCATCGAAATCACATGCACTTTGGAAAATGGTCAGCAGTAATGTCTGCGTGAATAATATCTAGTGAATTGGCTATAAACGTACAAAAACACCTGTACGGTCCATTAATACAGCTGACATACTTGGGGGGGGGTCCCTACGTTCTTTTAGCAGGTTTGGCGATCAGCTGCCTCTCTCTCTCAAGCTCCTTCTCACGTTGCTGCTCCTTCTCCAGCGCCTCCTTCTGCTTCTGCTGCTGCAGCTTCAGAGATCTTTTCTGGGAGAACACAACAGACAACATTTAATCAGTAATAAAATATTTAGCTTGCATCCAATCTACCATAATGTCCTCCATTCCTTTAAGTTTTCCATTTGACATAGATAAGAGGTACCTTTAGTTTAGTTGTCTTTTCGTGGAGCATTATCATCTCTTTCCTTATGTTCACCAGTTTATTGTGGTAAACCTTCGCCTCTGTAAACTAAGGAAACTGGATTAGAAATCATTCCTCCTGCCTGATGAACAGAACACAAACCAATATAGAGTAGAAAATTAGATTATGGTTCAGCCTGAACATACCAGTGAATTGAGGTCCAGTAAGGCGTTACATTCTCGAAACTTTGTGACTTCTTGGTCCAGAGTGTCTAATAATACCAGCTGATTTTGTCTGGTAAAAAAGGGATGAAATAAATGTCATAAAGTGCACTTTTAACCACAACTTTACTTGTTTTGGCATCTACTTAGTAAATAGATAGAAAGATGACATTTTTTAATATTTGTGACAGAAAGCTAACTTTTAACATGACATTAAATGTACAATTGAACGGCAAATTTATTAAAGGTGAAAGGTTTTCATGGACGGACACAAAGCATTGAAGCATAAAAGCTACTGGTGAACATGTCCGTCCTGTTCTTCTCGTCATATGACTCTCCGTGCCACATTTGTTTACTGAAAACTGCAATCTGTGTATGTCAACATGTTTGTGTGAATCACATTTCTGAAAGCTGTGCGGGTAAAGACGGCTTGTTAAAAAAAAAAAAAGTGTTTTGATTTTCTTCCTATTTACTTAAACACCAAATCACAAAACATTTTTAAACAGTTCTTTTGTACCTTAATATATATGAGATCGTTCTCAATAAAAAACTTAAAAAGGAGAATTTCTAAGCAAGTTTGTGTGATTTCAAGTTTTCAGGGCAATGCTTACGTGAGCTCTTGTAGGGCTCGTTTAGAGTTCTGTAGATCAGGTAGGTAGTGAGATAGTAATCCCTCTGTGAGTTTGTCCACTGCTTTCTTATCTACAAACACATTCTCTACAGGGGATGAGTCCTCAACAGGCAGTGGTTCTTGATGTGCCAACTCTTGATCTGAGAAAAGGAGATAAGAAAGATGCACAAAGCATTCATGTCACGAAAAAAAGCCTTTGATAAATAAACCAAATGTCATGGTTATTGGTGTTCTGGTGGCAGCAACTTTAGCTTCAAAAAGGACTTTACTAAAATGTTATCATGGCATGCTTGAAATCTGAGAGGCTACCTTTCATCTTCTCTAATATGTCTGCCGACTATTAAGATGCAGGACTGAATTGCTCTGAAACTCAACTTGCAACCCTCACTGGTGACTTCGAGAAATGTTTTAAGAAAGGAGGTAGCTGTTTTTATTGTTAGTCAAGGAACCTCATCATAATAGTGTCACCTGTAAGTGAGTACTTTGATTGAGTCATAAACTTGTTTATTTTGAGTTTCTTTGGTAACTCAAAATAACTCAATATATAATTCTCCTGACTTAAAAACACCATTAACACTTTTTAGCCAAGTAGTCTAACCTTGATGATACTGTTCAGATTATGTGGAGTTCAGCCGAGAGAGTCAAGCTGTTTACACTGTTTGACAAACTTCAGTATATTGACTTTTACAAGTCAAGGAAAAGTAATGCTGCTATGTTGTTAAACAGGAGAGATAGTAGAGATGAGTTTGAGTCCAATAGTTGTAGCATGTGAGCGTTTCTGTTGTTAGACAACACAAGCCAGTTGTATCTTTGCAGAGTTGTTAATTTGGGGATTCATAAAAAAATCAAAACACTTCAGATTTCGCTCAGATTTAGTTTTTTCTCAATTTAAATAACACACTTTAGCTAATGCTGTTTTTGATTTGTTTTCAGGTACTTCTGTATGAATAAGCACCAAGTCAAATATGTGAGAGTATTTAGAAAAAATGTAGACATAAACTCTTAGGAAAGATATACGCCAGTCTTAGTGAAATGAAAATGGTAAATAAGATAACAGTGACATGTCATGAACATGGCATAATCAACAATGTTTCTGACATTGAACTCGATAAGTACATCTTAGTCTGTGCCACTGCTGCTGCTAGATTTTCAACATTATTTTTAAAACATCACAAAGATTTGAATGTGTACCCGGGCAAAAGCTTAGACAGACATACACAACAAACTGCAAGTTCAACCTCTAACTATATAACATTATTTTCATGTATTGTGTCCCGTACAAGTTAGTAATTGGTAATCTCGGGTGATGTTATTATAGTAGGCTACCCAAAAGACTAGGGCTAAAGCTGGATTTCAATTATCTATATTCAAGGTCAGGCTGGACAGGTACTGACAGTACAGTAAAGTCCAGGTTGAACATTAACATACTGTAGTGGCAATAACAACAAAAAGTGCAACTGGAGGGAATTTTAAGTCATTTCCAACTCATGGTGGGTAAAAAAGGGAATGTCCGCTGTTAATTATGTTTGCAGTATTTAACAAAAACACTTCTGGTTGAAAAAAAACTGTGTGGCTTCCACTAATTCACCTGTGTCTCCCCCTGTCTACCTACCTGTAATTGCTAACTATGCCCTGGTGACGTTTGCAGCAGAAAACGTCCACACACACACACACACACACACACACACACACACACACACACACACACACACACACACACACACACACACACACACACACACACACACACACACACACACACACACACACACACACACACACACACACACACACACACACACACACACCTTCTTCACTTTGATGAAGTTCACTCTGGGACGAAGGTCCTTCATCTCCCATCCCCTCTTCCTCCATTTGCAACGACCCTTTCTCACCCAGACTTGCCTGAAAACAAAAGCACCAGACAAAACAAATGATTACTCTTATTATCATATCAAAAGGCAATTATCAGTGTATTTTCTACCAAAGGGGTTATAACGTTAGCTTATAACAACACAGGAATCCCCACGCTGAGGAAGTGTCCAGCTAGCTGCTTTATTAGTAACCACACGGTTAGCCACTCCGCAACCTGAGAACATTTAACTTCACTCAAAAACACACTTACCTGGTTTTATTTCTACTTTAAATTAAGTGTAAGGATAGGTGACTTGACTTCTTCTGACCAAAAAAAAAAAAAAAAGCTGGAGAGAGTAGATAACTGCGAGATGTTTGTTGCTGCAGCTGACAAAAAAAAAGAAACGTCATGTGACTCCCGCGTCATCACGTGACTGCGTGATGACGACACCAGACTCGCGCTACTGTTCCGGATGCAGAGGTAGCTACTGTGTAACTCCTGTTGTGACTCTGATGTTTACATTAGTATTACCATGACAGTTTTACCCGAGGACTGAAATAAGTTTTTCAGATTAGGAGAACATTACAAGGTGAGTGTGCCTCGTGTTTTTGTACAAACTATTTAAAGTACAAGTGATGTCTGCAGTCAAAACTGAAAAAAAAAAAAAACCGATATGGCTAACCTGGAACCAGCTAGCGTGTTACTGTTTAGTCCAGGCTGTTTTCTGTCGGGACTATTGAACTCAAAAGTTTTATCAGCTCGAATAGAAATGCGAGTTACCCGTGGATGTGTCTTTAACACGTCAAATCAGGAGCTCGATAGCGACGTAAACAGGTTTGTCGAGATGTCATTGTTGAAATTGCTGAGCTGCACTGACGTGAAACGGCGCTGTCTTGAATCCTGTTTCTCGTTTCTCTCTCTCTCTCTCTCTCGCTCTCTCTCTCTCTCTCTCTCTCTCTCCCTCCAGGTGCTAACATGGACCTCGTCATAAACACGTGAATGATCTCCCCCAAGACGACACCACCTTTCAGGCAGTGCTCACCTGGGTATATAGTTCCGCAAGATGTCAGGTGGGAACTTTTTGAACAGGGTGCGGTCTGCCTTCAGGAAGGCTCCGAGCGACTGGGACCTGAGCGACACGGCTCCCCTCGACTTCTCCGACGAGCTGGCGGAGGATGAGGCTCCTAAATTCAACAAGCTGAAGGTGGTGGTGTCAGGAGAGATGTCGGACTACTCTGCCGGAGCGCCGTCCAACGGAGTGGCGGTGAACACGCTGGTCGTGGCGGATGATGACGATGACTCCTTGCTCGAGTCCTCCTCCAGCATGGGCAGCCCGGGTCTGAACATGGACCCCTGTGACAGCTGCAACAAGAAGAGGGAGAGTATTAAACACAGGAGGGTGATGAAGAGGCTTGCCATTGCAGCTGTGCTGTATTTCCTTTTCATGGCAGGTGAAATAATAGGTAAGAAGGTGCAAAGTTAACCCCACTCTACATTGTTATTTTTTTTTATCACTGCTGGCCAGAGAGGGACCTGTCTTCACTTTATGACCCAACTGTCACAGTTATTTGGATATATAAAAAAAAAAGGGGAACCACTGTAAAGTGAAGTAAGTTTGCCTTTCTTGGCTGCTCAAACAAACCCAATTTTACAATCACACAACAAATTAAACAGATAGAGACAATGACTTTTCATTCGCTTATCAACACAGTTTAATAAACGGAACAAATTGACTATGTTGACCCCTGTAAAATGTTGGTTAACACCATAAAGACATTTTCTAACCTACCCCTAGAGGTATTTTGAAATGGCTACAGATCAGTTACTCAGCAGTGCTTTATAGAGGCAGCCACTTTCCATAAATGCTAATGTAACATCATGAAACATTAAGCTTCATGCTAAAAGGCTATTTCACAGAGGAAACTGTGGTTCAATATCTTGAGAAAAGTGCAGGTTGTTTTTGTAGTTAGGCTGAAATTTGTCAGGATGACATAATGTGATCCTGTCCTACACATTGCTTGACTACGCTGTATCTCTCAGCTCTACATCAAGATTGTTTTTTTCTCAGTCTGCACGAAAAAGCACCCCAGGCCCTGACGATTGTCTATACATGTCAAAAATCATTAAAATCTATAAAGCAGGAACCCTTAAAGCCGTCCTGTCGACTTGCTTGTGCTAACATCTATCCATGATTATTGATTCATATTCTAAAAGCACTTATATCTACTTTTCTTTATTTTTTTATCATGAAGATACCAAAAAGAAAACTGTGGAGCAAACTTAAAACAAAATGTTAATTTCTGACTGTGCTGAAAACTATCATGTTGATATGCTTAAGACAATTGTTTTAGAGCCCATACATGTTTAAATCTCATCATATAAAGGTACTAGTTTCATTATCCAGCTTTTCTTCATGAAAGACGAAGACCAGAACAGAATCACGTTTTTGCACAAAGTGTGTGACAGTTCACCCTCTTGTTAATTAAGATTTCATTCCCCTAGGGATATATGAGTACATACACTACTTTTGTCAACCATTTCCACAAAATTCAATCATTGCCTACTAAGGAATAGTAAAAAAAAAAGTAATGAACCTGTTGCCCCAATGACCATCTGTCAGTTCAAATAAATATAAAAAAAACCTTAGCATGAACTTTGCTGCTGATGTATTTCTGCCACACGCATCTCGGCATGTGTTGTGTATCTTAAATCTGTCCCTCCACAAATTGCTCATATTGATATAAAAAAGATTTTTTTAATCAAGTTTTTGTTTTCCTTTCAGGTGGTTATGTATCAAACAGCCTTGCCATCATGACTGATGCTGTGCACATGCTAACAGACGTGGTGGGCATTTTGTTCTCTCTGCTGGCCCTCTGGCTCTCTACAAAACCACCCACTAAAAAGTTCACCTTTGGGTTGCATCGTCTTGGTATGTCTCCTATTTCAGAAGCCTTCTCATTTTTTTTTTGCAATTGCCCTTCCTATTGCAATTGCTTCCTTCATGGCTGAGGCAAAGGAATACTTCTCTTCCTTCATGTCTGAGGCAAAGGAATACTTCTCTTCCTTCATGTCTGAGGCAAAGGAATACTTCTCTTTTTTCAGAAGATGAGTCATGTTTGAGGATGAAAGTGTGTGTTCAGCAGTGTTCAGACAAGATCAGATCTCAGAGAGGATACTTTAGGTTCAGTTGGACAGTCAGGAGAGATTCAGATTATTGATATTTCTGCAAAAAAGTACACAGCCCCATTGGCTGATACTCTGTACTGTCACAAATATTATAACTTATATATATTATAACAGCCAGAGTGTGTGTAGTTTCCACTATTTGAGTTTACCTTGGTTGTATAACGTTGGTGTGTAGATATAGTAGTCTACAAAATACTGCTTTTACAACCTGCCACTATTTATTACTGAGACCCACAATGTTGCAGAATGTCTGCAACCACTCAGATAAAGAAGTACCCATTATTTATACTCAAATGTAGAAAAGAGCTTTTACTTCAGTTTTATATACCGTACATATATCTACAAAGTTTCCTGTTAGCGTCACTTTAGCTTTTTTGAGTCAGGTTCCCGTATTAGTCCTGCCAGTTAAAATTCAGGTTTTCTCCCAGCTTCTATACTTACTCAACTGATTGTGATTTTCTTTCCTGGCCCAGAGGTGGTATCTGCGGTGCTCAGTGTGATGCTCATCTACATTTTGACGGCCATACTGCTCTATGAGGCAATTCAGAGGACGGTACACCAAGACTTCGACATAAACGGAGATGTCATGCTCATCACTGCAGCTGTGGGGGTGGCTGTCAACCTCATGTAAGTGAAATGCTGACAAGTAAACATCTATTTAGAGAAAAAACTGTGAGTGGCTCAAAAAAAGAGACTGAAGTGTAGTTTGATGTTAGTGCTGACAGCTAATCTGTAAGTGATTGAATCAGCAAAAATTTCACAGTTGAGTCCAAAGTACTGTTTATTATGTACTCTGTAGCTTTATGTTTTGTAATGTTTGACCACAACAGAAGGTAGGTGAATAAATGACTAGACTCACTGGGCCTCATTCACCAATATCTTCTTCAGGTTTTTCTATCGTTTTTCTTCAGAAGATTTCTAATAAAACTCTCTGTCAGATTAACCAACATGTTCCTAACTGACTGAATTGTTCGCAGAAGTGTTATTATCTTACCTACTTGTGATCGTAAGTTGAAGGCTCGTGCCTGTTGTTCCCAATTAGCATAGGTAACCGCCCACTAATTCCTATAAAAGGGCATGAGTGCCGCCGGGCCCTGCAGACAGAAACACATGCTGGTAGCAAAAAAAAAACAAGGTTGTGGAGATGCCTATCAGAGGGGTGAAGATGATGTAGGTGGAGCACCTGACTCCTAATGGAGAAGAATCTTTAGTAGTTCTGAAGTGGAGATATTGCTGCAGAAGGTCAGCAGCAAACAAGTAATCGTACACAGGATACACAAAAAAAGACACATGGGATGAAGTAAACATACCGCCCAATGACAGCTGGGATCGGCTCCAGAACCCCCGCAAACCCCGAAGGGGAAAAAGTGGTTTAGATAATGGAAGGATGGATGGAATATTGTAATGTAGAAACCTTTAATATTATACAACTTCAAACTTAAATTAAATGCAATAACTGTCTTTCTGCCCGAGCCTTTCTGCACTCGAGTGTTAGTAAATTCTGTTCTTACCTAAGAAGAAATCCCACGTGATCAAACATTGGGGAATCCCAGAATCTTCTCAAAGAGTTCATAGGTAGGCTGTAAGATCAAATTTGTTATTTAGAACGATTGGTGAATGAGGCCTATAGACTGCAGTTAGTCCGCAGAATGTGAATTGAAAAGAACTCGTGAAATCCTCAAATAAGTCTTTGTTTTCTTGTGTCTTTAGAATGGGTTTCTTGTTGAACCAGGATGGTCACCTCCACGGTCACTCTCACGGCCACGGTCACTCTCACGGCCCTCCAGCTCCCTCCGGTTCAGCTGGGTCGGGTCAGCAGCATAGGCAGCAAGGCAGCTTGGCTGTAAGAGCCGCATTCATCCACGCTTTGGGGGATCTCCTCCAGAGTGTCGGGGTGCTCATAGCTGCCTACGTTGTCCGCTTCAAGGTACCCTGCCATTTTAAAGAAACGCTTACTTGCGGTTTACTTTTCATTTGAATTCTCTGAAGTGTTTTTACGCATTTGTTAAACATTTCTGTAGATATGGAGAATATTTATTAATCTGTTTTGTGCTTGACTCCTGACTTTAAACTTTAATTTTTTACTTATCTGTAATATTTTAAAGACTCATCAACTTGTAAACATTAATGATGAAATAAAATATTGACAGATCTTACATCTACATGTATTCTTAGCTAACGACAGATCACGCAGTCCTTGTCATTTTCCAGTAAAGTATTTGCATGTGATTGTTGGACTTAATTGGCGGCCCCTGGGTTAGAAATTTGATTAACTAGCAACATGGTCGAGAAATGTAAAAGGCTCTGAAAAAATCAAATATCTATTATAGAATCAAGTTGTGCTTAAAGCAAATTAAAAAATAACTTTGCCTGTAGCTGATGTGATGTAACCCCCTGACTTTACAGCCGGAGTTTAAGCTGGCAGACCCCATCTGTACCTACATCTTCTCTGTTCTGGTCCTCTGCACCACTTTCCGAATCATACGAGACACAATAGTCATTGTGCTGGAGGGTGAGTCTTTGGTCACTCTGTGCTTTCAGATTATCATGTTTTTATTAAGTGTTCAGCGATAGATGGTTTTGATTTTGTTTTGTTGTGTCAGGTGTTCCAAGACACCTGGACACTCTGCGAATCAGAGAGGACCTGCTGAAACTGGAGGACGTCCAATCAGTGGATGAGCTGAATGTGTGGGCGCTGACAGCTGACAAGACTGCAGCTTTAGTGCATCTCCAGCTCAGTGAGTAGCGGCCACATATCCAAACAATCAGTAATGCTCTGTATTAAGTCTTCAAGCTGCACTGACATACGAGGCGTAGACTTCTCATATTTATGTTTGTCAAGCTCCACGTTGTTCTCAACACTTAAAAGTGTAATGAAACGTATAAAAGAAGCAGCAGCAGTTTCACTACAGATGTGGGCATGTTATTAATCCAACCAGTGGTAGTCAGGGGTTACAGTAAGCAAACATCTAAATGAAACTACAAATGTGGCTGTGAAACAAAACACTAACCTCATCCAAAAAACATCCTCCCAATTTCATCCAGACATCCAAATAACAGCATATACTTAAAACTCATTTCAACATGTTTCCTTCTATATATTTACATACATGTTTGTGTTCACAGCACCCTCTAGTGCCAACAACTGGGAGGAGGTCCAGGCAAAGGCCCGCCACCTGCTGCTTCACACCTACGGCCTCACGAGGGTCACAGTTCAGATCCAGACTCACAGACAGAGGCTGGTACGTAGCTGTGCACACTGCCAGCAGCCCAGCGCCTGAAGACAGACTCACGCTTACACTGACTTCCACAGACGGCAGAGAGCACAGCACACAGAAAGCTGATCACAGCTTGGTGCTATAGAAGGAGCCTCAGCATGTTTTCATTAGGGGGAAAAAGACAGGTGCCAAAGGACGGAAAAACTTCAGATGCATATTTCTTATAAAAGGATCACTTCATCCTTCAGGGACTTTATGCAAAGCTATGTGGGTGGAGTTTGAATTGTTCAAGTGTCAGCTTAGAAGAATGGGAAAAAAAAAACCTTAAAAAACTTAATTCACCATTAAAGCCTATTCCAACAGGTTCCTTTTTTTTCTATTTCACTCTTTTGATTTTTCACACTGCTTTTTTTTTTGATTTGATGTAAATTTGACTTGTTACTAGCTTGAAGACTGAGTGTTAATGTACTAGGAATTTCAGCTAATGAACAGGTACCTCATGTCATCTGATAACTGTTGTCACATTAAATATAAGCTGTACTCACGCACATGAAGAGTGTCACTTCAGTCATCTCATCAAATGCACTCAACCATTAGCATTCTTCAGCAAAGGTCTCATGTAAGGCTGGGTTTTAGATTTTGTTTTGTTAGTTGATTTTGGCCGTACTGACCCACAACTACTGAAACTTTAAACTCTCACATCTAACTCTAGCATGTTTTTAACTACGTTGTAGAAGACATCTGACAATCAAAGTGTGACTGACTTTGAAGAAGAATGAATTCTGTTTGTTTTCAGCCTTACTCTCTTTACACTTTTTTTTTCATATCAATGATCGACAGTATGATCATGCAGACAGGTTGGAGACAGTTGCAGTATCTCAGAGTTGCAGTGTTACGCAGGAGAGCGATGTGAGTTGAACTCTGCCAATAAAGTTGTTCACAGAGTTTCTCTGTCAAGTGTTGAGAGGCTGTGGTGGGTTTAAGGATAAACCTTTCCACACCTCTGATGTTAATCATCAAGAGAAATCAGGAACTACAGTATTGTTTTTGTTTTAAAATAAAGTATTTAATCTGTTGTTTCTGCCTGTCAGTATCTTGGTTTGTTTTTCCTGAATGCATTTGTGTAGTGAAGTTTGTTCTAAAAAATTCCATCTTTTTCCACATTTACATGATCCATGTAAACTAAACTAAATGAATAAATATTAGTATAAATGTGAATTAAAAAAAACAATTTGCAAGCTGATGTGTGCTGGATATGTAGTCCCACTTTTCATCACTAGGTGGTGCACTACTACAATAGCTGAGAAATACCTGTCTTGACAGGCCCCTTTTTGATAAGATAACCACTATATTTCCCTGTTTAGCAGCTTTAACCCCTTCAATGATGGCGCTCATATGGGCTAGAGAGTATCATCAAACACGTCTTTCTGATACTCAAGTTGTCCATCTATTACTGGAAAATAGAAAACAAGTATGTTCAGAGAAAAACACGCTTGTTCTATACATTACAAACATTAAAAAAACTAGTTTGCTCAAAAAGACACGTCTTAAATTTACCAAATCGATCTTTTAACATACCATTTAATGTTTGTTTACTCGTGCTTTGGGCAATAATTGACTAAATATAAATATGAATAAAATAGAGCGTGCTGCGTATGAACTTACAACATCTTAAACATAACCTATTTAGTCCTTTCACCCCAAACAATATTCATAATCAAATTGAGGCCGTATCAAAGGTTTACTTTTTAAAAGCATGAGTAAAATGGGAGTGTCCCAGTTTCCAGGCAACCGCCGCCTTAACACATCACCCCAGAGGCAAAGTGAGCAAACTCCTCTGTTTATATTTCAGCAGAGACAGAAGTTTACAGCATCCACCTGACTGCCCAGCCTCACTTTAGAGTGCCATAAACTGCTGTAATGGCCCCTCAGTCACATGTAGATAACCTTACATGAACCATATCAAATAGAGATACATGTATGTATGTCTATTTATTATATTTATTTTTGACTTCTGTGACAAGTGAAAACTCCATCTTTCATTTCTCATGCTCTATGTGAGTAATACCTTCATCACTTACAGTACATGGTCACATGGTCTGTGGTGTGATGAAGGCTGTGACTCGGTCACGTACACACATTCTAAGACCACGCACTATATCCTTCCTCTTCTGTCATTGTTTCCCGAAATAACTTACAGTAACTTGATGAGTGAAACTTATAACTGTAGAATGACGGCAGAATAATGTATTAGAAACTATAAAATGTAGTAGCTGGAGATTCAGGGCTTGTTCATGGTACCTTGTGTTTATTTTCTTTAAAGCTATGAAATGTGACTGTGACTCTGAATGTGTAGCTTTAAAAACCAGATGTAAACTTATACAAATGAATCAAGCCTGGAGTGATTTAAACTGTCAAACAGTACGCATGCAAACCAAACGTGTGTATGTGAGTCCAAAAAGGAGAATGATTTCCTTTTTAAAAAGCAGCTTCAACACACCAGGAAGCAAAAAAAAACAGTGCCTCTCCCTCTTGTTGCAGCCTCGTAACATTTCCTGGTTACTGTTTAATAATTCAAGAGAAATCCTCTCAGATTCATTGTGAGGCAAACAGACCCACAGGCTGCAAATGCCAGACAGTGCCATGGTTCAGACATTTTAGTAGGAGGGAGGGTTTTCTAGTGTTTTTTTCTCTCTTCTCTTCAGAGACACCAAATGGACGTTAAAAGGATTGTCTCTGATTATAAAACACGATGGGAGGGGTACATCCATAAAGTAAGCTGATGAGTGCATTCGCTCATTGTTTCGATGGCAGTAATTGCTTTATTGCTGTCCTAGAAAGGCAACATCCAATCACATTCATGTCTGCAAACAAGTAACAAACATTTCCTGGATACACTTTTTAAATAACGTGAAGAATGAAAGAGCACAAGAAAAGTTGTTCTTGGTGGGCGTCCCCTGATAGACAGTGAGTGAACATGAATGACCTCATTGAGTCTTTTACTTCTGATTATAACTTTAGTTGCAAACAGCAGCAAAGTCCATTTTTGGAGCGTTCAGTCATTGCAGATATCTTCATAAGCAGTAGGAGTTTGATCTGCTCAAATGATCAATGCTCAAAAATACACACATATCCAATTGCACTGCACCTTTGCCAGATCTAACTGTCGACGAGGATGATGTGTGACCGTCAGGGTTGAGGCCTTGCTCTTTTGTTAGTTAAATATTAAGATTGTAAATAACCTTCTTCTTTATAGCAGCCTGTAAACACTTGTACCTCACTGAGGAAAGGCAACAACAGATCTGATAACATGCAATGAAACACCTACAAAAGTAAATGATGAATGTATACCAGAAATAGCCTAGGTAAAACTTAAAATCTGACATTCCTCTTCTTAAATGAAAATCTGAGGTTACAATTATTAATTTAAAAACTGGGGAAAAGACAGAATATACAGAGGGCCTACATAAAAAGCTTGGAGACCAGAAATCAGCT